TGCCGAGCCCCCCGTGGGCCCCGCCGCGCCCCGCGCCCGGCAGCCGATGCCCGCGGCCGGGGAGCTGGAGGAGCGGTTCTCGCGCGCACTGGTGAGTTGGGGGGGCGGCGCGGTCCCCAACTTCCAGCGGCGATCGGGCAGAGTGCGGGCCGCTGATGGAGCGGGATGTCGCGTGCGGGGCCCTGTGTACCTCCTCATACCAAGAGCTGAGGCTGGCAAAGGCAGCCGGATTGGGTCCCTGCACTTGGGGTAAAGCAGAGTCAGGAACCCACCACTGCGCTGCCACTGTCGCCAGGTGGGAGCTGGAGTCCCGAGTCTAGGCCATGGGAGGGCGTCTGTAGCAGTTGGCTGGGTCTGGAGGTCGTCGGGTCCCCAGACAGGAGCACGGGGCTCCTTGCACTTCTCTCCCTGGCCTTCTCTGGACCAGCTGGCTGCCCTGTGCATTCTCTGCCTTCTCTGGCTGGACATGGGTGGTGGCAATGAGGGCAGGCTGTCCCCAGGCTGCATGGAGGGGCTAGAGTGAGGACCTCAGGGACGTAGGCAGGACAATCCTAAGCCCGCATTCTCCTTCCCACTGCTGTTTGCTGGGTCCCTGCATGGTCCCACAGGGCGGTGTCCTCTGTTCCTGGGACTGTGACTGCTGCCCCTCCAGGAAATGAGGCTGTGGCTGGAATGCTGTGTGTGTGGGGGCTCCTTGCACTCGGCTGCTGCGGGGCCCCTCTCCACCAGCCCCTCTGTCACCTCCCCAGGCCAAACCTCCGCAGCCCCAGCTGGCCACATGGAGAGCCGTCCCAGGGACCCAGCAGCCCAGCTGGGGCATGGTCTGCTCCTGTGTGGCCATGGATAGGAGGTGGGCTTTGGGGTGAGGTCCAGGCTGCCCCCTTTATGCTCATGGCTGAGGAAGAGCCCTGTGAATGATTCAGATGGTGGAAAATCCAGAAGTCAGGTCCTGCTGTGCCGCTAGCTTTAGGACGTGACTGCTCAGCCGGCTGTGGGAGGCTGAGAGGGACCTTAGGGGTGCTTCCCAAAGAGAGGGATGTAGGTGGACAGCAGCACTCTACACCTCTCAAGTCCCCAGAGCGCAGCCTGGACCACCTCTCTGAGGGCCTGGCTCTCCCCACCCACTCACACAAGGTGGCAGCCTGCCCTCTGCCCTGGCACCTGGAGCTCCTGATCTCCATGTGAGCCCACCTGCAGGTGCACTGATTCTGTAATTCCTGGGGGTCTAAGGAGAGTGGAACTTCAGATTGCTTAGGGGCCCCACCCTTGGGGATCCCCAAGCCTGATGGGAGAAGTGTGGTGCTACTCTTGGGGTCTTATCACCCCAAGTAACTCTTTTCTGCCTGGTAGAACAGCACCCCAGCACCCAGAATGCCCCCTTCTTCTGTGGGAAGCGCTTCTCCAATGTAAGAGCCATGGTGGGACACCCTCTTTCCAAGAAGGGTGCCCTGCTTCAAGGGGGTGGGAGGAAAGAGGGTTGAGAGGGTGTGAGGCTGCTGCTTTGACAACCATGTGGAGGGACCGCCGGCTGGCTGCCGGGGACAGGGACACTGCTGGAAGCCCTGTCAGTTGGCCCATCTCTCTCCTCTCATATGCCCTGGCTCAGGCTGGGCAGTGTCCGGACCGGCCTGCTTCCCTTGGGACTGGGGTACACCCCTTTGGCTGCCCAGGTACAGCTGGGTATAGACTAGCACCCCTAGTCTGCTGAGGCAAGGGAGTCCCAGGGTGATGTCCTTGAAGGGCCTGAGTTGTCACAGGGATGGAGGACACCCTTCTATTTGTGTTCCTGGCCAGGTACTGTGGGAGTCAGGTGTGGCCCTGGTGTCCTGTCCTCATCTCTGGGGCCAGGTGACAGCAGGAGGGGTGAGGTTGACTTTGGGTCTGCCTGCAGCAGATGTGGCCTCATGGGCAGCTCATTTCTGGGGTGAGGTAGGTGGAGTTGGGGTGCCCCCCATAAATGGTGGCAGTGGTTTAGACCCTGAAGTCAGATGCTGGGCTGCACAGAGGTGGAACCAGGGATGTGCTGGGCATGATTCACAGGGACATATGGGGCAGCTGGCAGTGGGCTGAGTCGATGAGCAGGAGCAGGTGGGGCCGCAGCCCTGGGCCACCTCTGCATCTTTGCTGGGAACACAGCGTTCTGGAAGGTGCTTTGGGCCCCCTGTCTCGGAGGGGCCGGGTTGCTCAGAGGCTCAGATGGGCTTTGGATTGGGGGGTCAGGCTTTTGGGGGCTAAGTTTTTTTGCCACTTAATGCCACTGTGGCCTTGAGCAAGTTACTTCACTGGTCTGAGACTTCAGCTTGTTCCCAGTGGAAGACAGTACTGAGGGACAAACTGCCTCAGCAGAGTGGCTAGGGCTTCTTGGGGTGAGCAGCTCAGTGCCTCCTGTAGACCAAGCAGCAGCAGAGCTCTCCACTGCAAGGAAGGGGAGCTGACCTGTCCCTGTCTGTCTTGGGGTCCCTGGCTCACCCATCCTCACCTCTCCTGAGACCCCCAGGTTGGCCCTGAAGCTCCAGGAGCCCCCAGATCTATATCCACTGTGCAGGTCAGCCACAGGGAGGCCTCAGCCTGTGCTGCCTGGCTGCCGGAAACCACGGAGATCTGGCCACCTCTCAGGAGGGTGGGGCGCAGTGGCTAACGGCAGCCGTGTGCATATGTGGGGGTGGGGAGCCTCCACTTCCCCTTGACACAGGGTGTGTTGGGGGGGGGTTCCCCAGTGAGTAAGAGCTCAGTGTGGGTAACAACAGGAAGTGTAGGGTGCTGGTGGCAGGAAGTGGTGCTGGCTGGTCCTGGTTCCTCAGATGAGGCCCTGGGGCTGGACTTTCTGCAGAAGACCCCCACTTTGCACTGTCCTGCTACCCTTTCTTCTGAGGAAGGTGGGCAAGTGAATTACTCCCCCCATGCCTCAGTTTCCCCTTTATGAAATGGGGATGTAATGGCATTTATGTGGTATGCTTGTCATAAAGGCGTTAATGCACATCAAGTGCTGGTGTGGGCCCAGCCCAGAGGAGGGTTGGGCGTGCTGATTACCGTCCTTCTTGTCCTCTTGCCAGCCTGCCTGATGGCTTGGCTCCCACCCTCCCTGCTCTAGTCCCTGCTGTGGAGTTCTTACCCCTGCCTCAGGCAGGGTCACCCCATGGCCGTCTCTGATCCTGGGGCTGCTTATAGAGCTTCAGGAAGGGTGCATGGGAAGTAATTGTTTCTGGAGATTTTCCAAGGGCGAGAGAGCCAAGCTTGGAACTCCTTTGTGGTGGGGGAGCTGGAAGCCATGGGATCTCCAGACACTGGGATTGGGGTCCATTTGGCAGGACTGCACCCAGGGAAAAGGGGGGCTGCTGCCTTGGGATGCAGATTCTGCTGAGATTGAAAGTGAAACTGCAGGGTGTGGTTCTGTCCAGATGTGGCCTCAGGAGTGAACAGGGCGGCTTCTAGGGCAGGGCTCAGCATGGGACTTGGAGGCTGGATCCCTCTTTGCGTCCAGAAGGTGGGGCAGGGAGCGAGACCATTGTCCTGAATGCTGTGATAGGAAGATTTTAGGCTCAGCTCCATTTCTTAGCCTTGCCCCAAAAGGTGGATCCCACTTGTGGGGTGCAGAGCAGCAGGGGTCAAGGGCTGTTTTTATTGGCCAAGCCATAGAAGTGCATCTGTCTCACCTGTTTGCACGTTTTTCCCTGAGCACTGCCTTGGGTCCTCTGTGGTCTTCTCATATGAGATCCAGCTTCTTATGCTGGGTCACAGGAGGACGTCATCTTGTCCTACCATAGCTTCCTGGTGTCCCAGGCCCTGGGAGGCTGAGACAGGCTTGGTGCCCGTTTCAGACACTGAGGTGAGGTGGGCCAGGGCCTGGAGCTTTGTACCCTGCTCCAGCTCCGTGTCACAACTGCCCCCGAGAAGGCAGAGCCCTGACTGCCTGCCCTTTCTGTCTCATGGTGCTGTGTCCACACTGAGGGCCCCCGCTTGGGCTCTGCTCTTGATTTCTGCCTCACCCCAGTGACAAGTGGCACCTGCCACCCCCTCTCCCTGAAGTGCCCATCAACTTGGTGGGCACAGCCACAGTCAGGGAGCAGCTGCTAATTAGTGCTGTGCGCTGTCAGAGTTATTTCTGATTTCAGAGCCTAAATTTAGTGCGTCTGGCAGGCTGGCACGTGAGCCTGGGCTGAGGAGGCTCAGGTGGACGCCTAGCCCTATCTGCTGCTGGCAGGTGTGCCAGGCCCCTGGGGGTTGCTGGGGGCAGGCCTGGATGTGGTTCCCCCTGGTCTTGTAACTCTGGCTAGTTGCTGAAGCAACCTGCACTGGCTGTGTGGGGTGGCATAATGACTGATGGTGCCAACAGTGGCCACGAGGGTGGCAGGTGTCCAGCAGCTCCTGGCACAGTACACACCAGGGGAGCTGCTGCCTTGATCGCTGGGGACATAGTTGTGACCAGAAGGGCCCCTGGCCCAACCCAGAGCCCAAGGAGCCTCAAGTGGGTGAGAGCTGCAATGGGTCTCCCTCCAGAAGTGGCTGCCCGGAAGGCTCAGGCTCTGGGCTCTGCCCGCCCTCAGCCTTGCTGTCCATGCTGGCAATGGCTCCTGCACCCTGGCCTTTCCTGAGGCATACTTCCTTCTTCACTTGGGCCTCTCTGCACCTCTGCAGGTTGGCGATGGCTCAGTGGGGACAGGAGAGGCAAGTCCTCCAGTGCAAAGCACCCACCCCCTGGTGCCTGAGGGGTGGTAGATAGAGTTGTGTGTGTTTTCCCCACCCAGCTCACTTTCACAATGGGAGACATGTATGCTAAGTCCCTGCTCATCTGGCTGGGAGTCGGTGGGGGGCATTGTCACTTCTGGAGTGGCCTGACCAGAAGCTTAGGCAAGAAGGGCTGGGACAGCAGCTTCCTGTTTTCTGAGCTGGCTCCAGCAGTGATTTGAGGGTGAGGTCTGGTCAGAGCCCCAGATCTGCTCCAGCACCTAGTGAGGGGAGGCAGGGTGGCTGAGGCATTGTGGGGAGGTGCAGTCCCTCACCTGCCAAGGCCACTGGAGCTGGTGACAGCAGCCTTCTACCTCTGGGCTGGGGATCTGGTAGGGTTAGGGTGGTACCTCTCAGGGCAAGAGCTATATTTTGGGGCCTCAGTAAATCTGGAGTTGACTGAACTGGGGTGACCTGGTCTTGGATCTGTGTCTGTTGGAAGACCTGCTGAGCCTGAGGTCTTGAGTACTGGTGGCACCTGGTTGATTCCACAGCACTGGGCTCACCTGACATCTGCCCTGTGGCCGTAGGGGTGCCGTGGCCCTAGGTGGAGCTCCAGACCTAGCCCAGCTCCTGAGGGATCCTGTCTGGGCCACAGCAGCACAGAGATTTCCAGTCTCTGCATCGGTGATACCCATGTGCAGCTCCAGCCCCCACCCAACCACCTCAGTTCTTTTTTTTTTTTTTTTGCGGAACCGGGGATTGAACTCAGGCCCTTGTGCTTGCCAGGGAAGCACTTATTCTACTGAGCCATCTCCCTGGCCATCACCTCAGTTCTTTAAGAGACAGGAGGGAGGGGCTGGGAGGATGGAGAAGGCTGTGTGGCCTCCTTGGGAGAGTTTTTCCCTGTTGTCCATACATACTTGGTGTCTGGTGGTGCCTGGGAATTTGGGACTGGCCGGTGAGGGCTCCCATCAGCTCCCTCCTGGATCTTGGCAGAACTGATGCCCCCATATTGAAGATGGGATCTCAGAGCCAGAGGGGCCTGGGGCCCCAGGTAATGTGAACATCTGCCTCATGCCAGATGTAGGGTGACACAGCCTGTTGGACTTGGATTCATCCCTGGGTCCCTTCCTAGCTGTCGAGGCCGGGGGAAGGTGCCATGTCCTTGTTTCTCTTTGGGTTGTCTGCTTCTCTCCTATATTTGGCAGTGTAGTGGGCCCTGAGATGCCTAGCCTTCCCCATGGTGCTGGAGCCCCAGGCTCAGGGTCCCTACTTTGATCCCCAGAACTGCATGAACCTGCCTCCGGACAAGGTGCAGCTGCTAAGCCAGTATGATGACGAGAAGAAGTGGGAACTTGTCTGTGACCAGGTGCGTGCTATGGATGCCCGTGCTGACCAGGCGGCTGCTAGCAGAAGGGGCTTCGCCTGGCCACTGTCTCCCCACCTGTGTGTCAGAGCAGGATGGGTCCAGGGCCCGGCAGGGGCATCCTTCCTGGTGCCACTCTGGGCCAGGTGGGGCTGGTAGGACAGCTTAGGCCCTAGGAGTGGGAGGGTAGGAACCCTGTCCTTTCCAGTGGGATCAGGGAGGTGCAGTCCAGCAGCAGTCCAGGGCCAGCTAGAGGAGACCCTGCTTCTGGAGACTTCCAGGCCCCGTGTCCACCTGGCTGACCCTGCTGCCCATGTGGGCCAGAAAGATGGTGCACAAAGGTGGGGGAAGGTGGCTGCAGTGGGTTGCATGGCAGCAGGCAAGGAGTAGGGCCTCCCAGGAGACTGGTGGAGCTTCGGCTAATGGAAGGCATGGGATGAGCTGGCTGGGCGGCTGCCAGAGAAGAGGCTATAGGAGGCTAAGGCAGTAGAGGATCCAGGGCATGGGGGGGGGCACATCTGAGGGTTTGGGAGCTGGGAGAGGGCCTCCGTGTCCACTGCATGGGGAGCAGGAGGCTAGTGCAGTACTGGGAAAGGGCTCAGCCTGCGAGCAGCTGCCTTTCCCTCCTTCCCTGGTTGGTCCAGGTAGGGTGAGGAGAGGGTGTCACCTGCTGGCTGGTCTGAGGCCCCCCCAGAGCAAATGTGGTGGTACCACCAACCCTCCTGTTCCACCCCAGGCAGGTCAGGGACTCGGCTTCCAGGGTCACAGGGCAGTGGCTAGAACCGGGCTGGGGTCTTCTCTGCTGGGCAGGGGGACTGGCCCCTGGTGCTCAGAGGCAGCTTAAGACTGCCCAAAGCCCCCATGAGAGCAGAAGGGACCTCAGTGGGGGCTGGTCTTCCCCCCAGGGCAGCTCTGCCTGGCTTCCTGCCCACCTGTCCACCTCCCCAGGAGCGGTTCCAAGTCAAGAACCCCCCTGAAGCCTACATCCAGAAGCTGAAGAGCTACGTCGATGTTGGGGGGGTCAGCCGAAAGGTCGCAGCAGACTGGATGTCCAACCTGGGGGTATTTCTCTCCCTTTATCTGGGCCTCTCCACTTCTCCTCAGGGCTCTGGCAGCTGGAGCTGTAACCGCTGGGGTAGACTCTGTGGGTGGGTGCCTGAGTGCATGTGTGTGTGCTATAGAGACCTGAGGGGGCCCTGGGTGTGCCTTTGAGAGTGTGCATCTATATCCACGAATACATGTGTGCTCTGTGTGCCTGTTTATGAATGTTAAGTGTGTGGGCCTGGGATGTCTGTGTGCATGTGTGCGCACCCCATGTGTCTACATGGTGTGTGTTTGTGTCCTCCCTGTCTGTGTGTAGGTGCCATGCCCTGGTGCACATGCCACTGGCATCCAGTTGGGTGGGTGTGTGGAGGGTGAGAGGGAGTAGGGGCGTGAAAGGCCACCTGTGGGAGTGAGGATGCTGGCTGTGGCCCTAGGATTTGGAGGGCCTGTGGAGGCTGGCCCTGCCCACAGGCTCCCTGTTCCCTCCCCAGTTTAGGAGGCGTGGCCAGGAGTCCACACAGGTGCTTCGGGAGCTGGAGACCTCCCTGAGGACCAACCACATTGGGTGAGTGCAGGCTCCAACGTCCCCCGGGCCATGATCACTGGCATCCCCTCCTCTGCCCTGCATGCTCTGGCTGCCATGTCCCGCAGGCTAGCCCCATGGCACAGGGGCCCTGAGGTGGGCTGTGCTGGTGGCTTCCTCTGCCAACTCCCCTCTGGACTCAGGGTGCCTTGTCCTACAGATGGGTGCAAGAGTTCCTCAATGAGGAGAACCGTGGTCTGGACGTGCTCCTTGAGTACCTGGCCTTTGCCCAGTGCTCCGTCACGTAAGCCCCTCACCTCAGCCCCCATGCTCCCTGCAGCCCACGTCCAGGGATCCCTGCAGGGCAGCATGCCCCTTCTGGGTGTGCAGCCTGGCACAGCCCCCTGGTGCGGGCCTGTCCCTGATGGGCAGGACAGTGCCAGATCACAGCTCTTCCTTAATCAGGGCTCTGTCCCTTCAATGCTGGCTCGCGAGCTTCCTGTGTCCTATCTCCAGGTATGACCTGGAGAGTGCAGACAGTGGGGAGAAGAACTCTGAGAAGGGCAAGCCCCTGGAGCAGTCAGTGGAGGACCTCAGCAAGGGGCTGCCCCCCTCTGTACCCAGGAGCCGCCACCTGACCGTCAAGTACGAGGCCCTGAGGCACGGTGGGGGAGAACAGAGTGGGATGGAGCCAAGGGCAGATGGGCTTGGGCATCTTCAGGCTGGCGCTAGGGAGGGCCTGGAGCAAGGAGGAGCATGGGGTGGGTTCTCTGTGCCCACCTAACCCCCTCTTTTTTCCATGCGGCCTCCAGGTGCCCCCCTTCTCCCCGGTACGTAGCCCCCCTGGGGGCAGGTGCATGCCTGGCAGGCTTCCTGGGTGGTGGTGGTGGTGGGTTGGATGTGTTCAGCTGACCTCCAAGCCCTGCTGGGGTGGATGGTCTAGGCAGTGGAGGTGGCCCTTGAGCTCTGTGGACCCCAAGATCCAGCCCTGGCTCGTGTGTACGAACTTCCATGTTAGGCCCCAGCCTCTTACAATGTGGCTTATTATTCATAAACCCAACAAACATGTTTTTGTATTTACCTGTATTAGATACAAGGCAGGTACTCCTTGCCTGAGGGCCACAGTCTAGGGAGGGGAGAGTTCAGTACAGCAGGCTGGTGGCTCTGAGAAGGGAGGTGGCCATGGTCTGGGGATTTGGGATGGCCCACTGGATGGAGGCAAGGAAGGACATCCTCTGGGGAGGGGGCATCTGAGCTTCTTTGGGAGAGGGCTGCGTGGCAGGTACAGGCCAGGCATGAGGCAGGGGTCCCAGTTTGTTGGAAGCATGGTAGAACTGCCGAGGGAACTGGTGTGTGTAAGCCACGGCTGCATGCTTGGAGAAAGTAAAAACAGCAAGTCCTTTTTCAGCTGAGAATAACTGAGGTGCTCATTGAGTACTTCCTGGGTGCCAGGTACTGCTCGGCTCAACCCAGTGACCTTTGCATGAAGGTGTTCCTCTTGCCATTCTTGTTGGAAACGGAGAAGTGAGGCACAGGAGGCTAGGCTGCTTCCTAGGAAGTGTGGAGCAGGGACCTTCAGGAACCTGGCCAGTGGCCTTCTCCTGGGCCCACGGGCTATGGGTGCCCCTGCTGGGCAGTCTTCAAGGCTGTGACTGTTGCCAGGGCCTCCGGGATGCTGCTCCCCGGAACCCCCATACAAGCAAGAAAGGCACCATACAGTGTGGGCCATCCTAGGCTGAGATGCGAGGGCTGGGCCTAGGGCTGACCCTGTGGCCTCCCTGACCGTCCAGGCTGACCCCGGCGCACAGCAGGAAGGCACTGCGCAGCTCCCGCATAGTCAGCCAGAAAGATGATGTCCATGTCTGCATCATGTGTCTGCGTGCCATCATGAACTACCAGGTGGGTGGCAGATGCCCCTCCCCGCCCCCATTTTCCACCTGAAGCCAGGCCACTGGCAGGTTGGCTGGGTGGCTGTGCTTCTTGTGGGTTGATGCAGGGTGGCCCAGCAGGAGCGGTGGAAGGGTGGCCTCAGGCTTTGCTCTCTGCCAGTCCTGACAGCTCCTGGCACTAGCTTGGAAATCAGAGTTAAAGGAGAATGGGGTGAGGGTCTGGTGGAGGCTGGATGGGAGGGAGGAACTTCCTGTGTGTGGGCACTGCTCACCTGCGCTCCAGGTGCTGGGCACCGGATACTGGGTCCCTCTGACCTTGTCTCTGTCCCCAGTCTGGCTTTAGCCTTGTCATGAACCACCCTGCCTGTGTCAACGAGATCACGCTGAGCCTCAACAACAAGAGCCCCAGGTGCGGTCCAGGCCCTCGGTTGTGTGGCCCTCCTAATCAGGGTGCTGCGCCAGCTGTGCCCTGTAGTGCCGCCGGTTTCTAGCTCCCTGGCCTCTCTGTCCTCAGAACGAAGGCTCTGGTGCTGGAGCTCCTGGCAGCTGTGTGCCTGGTGCGCGGAGGGCACGACATTATCCTTGCGGCCTTCGACAACTTCAAGGAGGTACCACTCCTGGTCCTGCCCAGTCCAGAGGACAGGGGTGGGGAGTTCCATATGGGCCAAGCCAAACTGGCCAAAGGCAAGGATGGGGTGGCAGAGGCTGGGCACACTCATTGCTTTAGTGAGCTCTGCCAAGGGCTGCTGTGCATCAGACAGCATGGCAGGAAAGAAAGATCACATAGGAAATGAGAAAGTAACGGGGGAAAGGAAAGAAGAGGATGCACGAAGGGCAGCCAGTTGCAGGGTGGTTAGTGCAGGGCTCACTGAGGAGGTGAGATCTGAGTAGTTTCCAGGAAGGCAGGGACCAGGCTGGGGCTGTGAGGGCAAGGGCCCTGAAGCAGCGGTGTGTCGGAGATGAGAGCATGGTGCTAGGGAGGGGCTGGGGAGTGCAGTGCGGGGAAGAGCAATGTGTGCTGACCCAGCTGTGACCGTGCAGTAGCCTATGGAGGCACAGGGGTGGCAACTGCGTGGAAGCTCATGAGGATGCCCTGGGTCCTCTGAGCGTCGTGCCCCTCCTGCAGGTGTGTGGGGAACAGCATCGCTTTGAGAAGCTGATGGAGTATTTCCGCAGCGAGGACAGCAACATTGACTTTATGGTGAGCTGGGGGCACTGGGCTGGTGGCAGATGGGCTGGGCTATATTGATGGGAGGCAAGACTGATGCAGTGGAGAGGCACTGAGGGCCTGGCCCGAGGACCAGCTGCTGTGTCCTGGCCCCAGGTGGCCTGCATGCAGTTCATCAACATTGTGGTGCACTCTGTGGAGAACATGAACTTCCGAGTCTTCCTGCAATACGAGTTCACAAACCTGGGCCTGGACCTGTACCTGGAGGTGAGCCCTGCACCCTCTCCCTGCCCTCTGCCTATCCTGAGCCACTGCACAGTATGGCCTCAGAGCTGGGGGACCTGGCTTCAAATCCTGGCTCTGCTGCTCCCAAATCCTGAAGGGCTGGGTCGGGCTTCTTGCAAGCTCAGTTTTTCTGTCTGTCTAATGGGAGACTCAGAGCTAAGGATGATTGACATGTAGAACAGCCCTGCCTTGACAGGCCCCCAGCTCCCTGGCTATGGCTGACTTTGCCCGGTACATACCAGTGAGCTGGCTCACGCTGGGTCTTTAGCTGAGATTCCCTGCCTTTAGGAGAGAGTTCTGGAAGCCAGGCTGACATGGGGAAAGCAAGCAGGGCTTTTCACACAGTGGAAGTGTAGAAGCTGAGGCAGACTGCACTGAGGATGCTTCACATAGCAGAAGGCCATGTGTGGTAGTTTCCCTTTAGAAAGGGTCCAGGAGGGATGAATCCTGACACACAGAAGACTGGCAGTCACCAGGGACTGAGGAGGAAGGGATGGGGTGTGCTGCTGCTGGTGGAGGGTCCTTCAGGGGTGATGAAGACATTGTGGGATTTGACGTGGTGATAGCCACATGACCTTATGAATGACCAAACTGTGCTTTACGGCACTTAAATGATACTTCAATAAAAACGGAGAAGGCAGCCTGGGTTCATGCTTCTTTCCCGGATGCCCACAAGGCTCACCCACTCTTGTTTCTGGGGACAGAGGCTGCGGCTCACAGAGAGCGACAAGCTGCGGGTGCAGATCCAGGCCTACCTGGACAACGTCTTCGATGTGAGCGCCCTTTTGGAGGACACGGAGACCAAGAACGCGGTGCTAGAGCACATGGATGAGCTTCAGGAGCAGGCTGCGCTGGTGAGGAGCGATGGAGAGTATGGGGCTGCCCTGAACTCAACCCTGGGGTTCCTGGGTGTGTCCCAGAGGTCAGTGTCCCCTGCGCACTGGGCCGTAGTGTCCCCAGACCTCACTGGGGGAACGGACTGATGGATGATGTTCCAGCCCCCCATCTCCCTCCCACCTTATCACCCGCGGTCCCCCCCCCCCTCCCCGGCTTAGCTTGGTCTTCCTGGCTAACGAGGGCGCTCCGGAGCCCTGTGCTCCAAACTGCCTGGCGCCGCCCCCGCTCACCCTGTGCTGGTGTTGCAGTTGACCGAGCGACTGCGGGACGCAGAGAATGAGTCCATGGCCAAGATTGCGGAACTAGAGAAACAACTGAGCCAGGCGCGCCGGGAGCTGGAGACACTGCGGGTGCGCGGGGCTAGGAAGGGGAGGAGAGGGGAGTGGAGGAAGGGGCGCATCACTGACCCATCCTCGCCGCAGGAGCGTGTGGGCGACGCGACCCCCCCTGGCGATGGTGTACGGAACCTTGCGGACGCGACCCGGGTCCCAGCGCGACCCTCGGCACTGGAGCTGAAGCTGGGGGAGCTGGAGGCGCAGGGGCTGCTGCGGGTGCTGCGCGGGCCCGGGGACGCCGTTGCCATCGAGATCCTGCCGGTCGCCGCCACTGCTCAGGATGGGGACGCAGAGACTCCGGGGGCGCGAGCCGGCTCCCCTAGCCCAGGTGTATAGGCTCTGTCAAGGGTGGGGCTGCACAGAGGGAAACCTGGGTGTGGGGTCAGGACTCAGGAGGGGATCTGGGGGCGTCGGGGAGACCCGGGACGGGATGGGGGTGGGACCTGGGACCTTCGGGGCTGAAAGAACTGGAGAGTGAACGCTCCGCATCCCAAAGACCTGCGGGTATCGGGACCAGGATGGAGGCTGGGAGCGTCTTTTGGGGATTGGGACCCAGGGAGGGCTCTAGGATCGTCTGCCGGGCTCGGACCTGGCAGGGGTCGAGGGGTGTCTCTGGATGGGCGGCGCGGAAGCTGCGGGCTGCAGTGGGTGGACCTGGCGCGCACGTGCAGGGCGGGGGAGGAGCCACGATCGCCGGGATGTGACACCCCGCACCCTCCCCAGAATCGTCAATGGGAGCTGTGCCGCCCCCGCCGGAAGCTCCGCCTCCCCAGGGCGGCCCGGAGTCCCCGCCCACGCCCCCGCCGGCGCCTCCGCTCCCGGGAGACCCCGTGCCCCCTCCCGCGCCTCCGCTGCCCGGAGACCCCGTGCCCCCGCCGGCGCCTCCGTTGCCGGGAGACCCCGTGCCCCCGCCGGCGCCGCCGCCGCCTCTCGGGACAGTGGGGCAAGGTCCCCCTCCTCCACCGCCGCCTCCTGGAGGACCCCCGGACGCCCCTGGCGGGCGGGGCTCAGAGACTAGCTTGGGTGAGTGGACCAAAAGCCCCGCTCCCCGGGGGGTGTCCTACCCTGCTCCTAGGAGTCCTTGCCCTGCCGCGATTTACCCGCCTTTTCTCAGGCTTCAAGACCAAGAAGCCGATCCAAACCAAATTCCGGATGCCACTGCTGAACTGGGTGGCCCTGAAGCCCAGCCAGATCACGGGTACTGTCTTCACCGAGCTCAACGACGAGAAGGTGTTGCAGGTGAGAGGCCGAGGTGAATCCTCGCGCGGGTCTCAGCTCGCGTTCCCTCTGCTGGGTCCTGGGCCAGCGCAGCCCTCTGAAGGTTTGGAGGTAGAAGCTGGGTCCCTCTCCTCCTCTTTGTGCTGCTCTCCCCTCTCCTGGGAGAGTCCCGGAGTCCAGGTCACACAGGATTGCTGGTTAGTCTGTGCCGGTGGCTGGACTCCGCCAAGAGGTCCAGGCCCAGTCTTGCCCACGTTCTTGCTGCAGGAGCTGGACATGAGTGACTTCGAGGAGCAGTTCAAGACCAAGTCGCAGGGCCCCAGCCTGGACATCAGCGCCCTCAGAGGCAGGGCCGCACAGAAGGGTCCAAGCCAGGCCACGCTCATTGAGGCCAATCGGGCCAAGAACTTGGCTATCACCCTGCGCAAGGGCAACCTGGGCGTTGATCGCATCTGCCAGGCCATCGAGACGTAAGTGTCCCAGCCGCTCTGCTCCTTTCCAGACTGGGATGTTCCCCTTTTCCTGCCTACCTGCCCAGCTGAAGGCTTCCCAGCTGGGCACATGGTGCTGCATCTTTTTTTTTTTTTTTTTTTTTTTTGGCGGAACCCGGGATTGAACTCAGGCCACTGTGCTTGCCAGGCAAGTGCTTATTCCACTGAGCCAGCTCCCTGGTTCCTTGGTGCTGCATCTGTCTGAGCTTCAGAGTCCCTGCATCGCCAGAGGGGCAAAAGTGTGAGGTCTTCTCTCTGCCCACTCACAGGTATGATCTGCAAGCTCTTGGCCTGGACTTCCTGGAGCTGCTGACCCGCTTCCTGCCCACGGAGTACGAACGCAACCTCATTGCCCGCTTTGAGCGGGAGCAGCGGCCACTGGAGGAGCTGTCGGAGGAAGACCGCTTCATGCTCCGCTTCAGCCGCATCCCACGCTTGCCTGAGCGCATGGCCACACTCACCTTCCTGGGCAGCTTTCCGGACACAGCCCAGCTGCTCATGCCGGTGCCCTGCAAGCAGCACTGGGGCCCTGTGGTGGGGTGGCTGGGTGGCCAGGGAGAGAGGGCTCCCACTCAACTCCTTCCCCCTTTCCCCAGCAATTGAACGCCATCATCGCAGCTTCCATGTCCATCAGGTCCTCGGACAAACTCCGCCAGATTCTGGAGGTGAGTTCTCTGCAAGGGCTCAGGCAGTGGCCACTGTGCCTGTCCTGGGGGTGGCAGGGACCAGGCCGTGCATGCCCAGGAAGTATCAGAGAGAAGACTCCACTTCTGACACAGGAGCACCTGACACTGGGCCTGGCTAGCAGCGGTGCATCGGTGGAGGCTGGGGACAGTGCAGATGCTGGTGTTTATTGGAGCTAGAACTTAGGGATCTTTGAGCATGAGCTATAGATTCAGTCCTTTTAAAATTTGCTTGTTTTGAGACAGTCTTGGTAAATCCCTAACCTGCCCAGGCTGGGCTGTTATTCTCAATCCTTGTGCCTCAGCCTCCCAGAGCACTGAGGTGACCGGTGAACACCAGTATCCTTGGTCAGAGGTGGCCATTAGAAAGGCAGGGACTTCACAGCGTGGGAGGGGACATTAATTCAACTAGCAGCAGGACAAAACCGGGGGTGCCATGGTGCCAACCCCACATACCCTCGGGGCACAGCACGTGTCAGGGCATGATGGTCCACTGTGCACAGTGGGGATGAGGGGACAGGACACTTTGCTCCTGTTCTCTGTGCACTTTCACGGCTTCTCCAGCCCTGGTGCCCGCTGACCTTACCCTGGCTCTCGCAGATCGTCCTGGCCTTTGGGAACTACATGAACAGCAGCAAGCGAGGGGCAGCCTACGGCTTTAGGCTGCAGAGCCTGGATGCGGTAAGGAGAGCCCTGGCCTGGGGAGGGGGTGGCCTTGGCTGGTGGCTGATGCATTCCTCACACAGCTGCTGGAGATGAAGTCCACGGACCGAAAGCAGACTCTGCTCCACTACTTGGTGAAGGTCATTGCTGAGAAGTATCCGCAGCTGTCAGGCTTCCACAGTGAGCTGCACTTCCTGGACAAGGCGGGCTCAGGTAGCAGATTCTGGTCTGTGGTGGGTGTGGCTCAGTCCTGGGGCCTGGGATGTCATGGAATGGGAGAAACGGGGAATCCCAGAGTGTCACTGGAAGAAGTGGCCTCCACCCCATGCTCTTCCTTCAGTGTCTCTGGACAGCGTCCTGGCTGATGTGCGCAGCTTGCAGCAGGGCTTAGAATTAGCACGGCGAGAATTCGTGCGGCAGGATGACTGTGTGGTGCTGAAGGAGTTCCTAAAGGCCAACTCACCCACCATGGACAAGCTCCTGGCTGACAGCAAGACGGCCCAGGTGGGAGCTAGGCACGGGGAGCAGGAGATGGGGTGCAGCCATGTCTCAGGGAGCAGCAGGAGTTCAGGCCACCCTGCCGGGTGGTTGTGACAATCTATGTCCAGTGAGCACTGGGCAGCCAGGACCTGGGCAGGAGCTTGCTGGTAGCTGACCGCTGGGCTTGCAGGAGGCCTATGATGCCGTGGTGGAGTACTTTGGAGAGAACCCCAAGACCACATCCCCCTCCATGTTCTTCTCCCTTTTCTGCCGCTTCACCAAAGCCTACAAGGTGTGCGGGTATCTGAGGGTGGTGGTGCCCTGCCGCTGGCCCTGGGCATGGGGTGCATGCAGGGGATTGGGAAAGAGGCAGGGTGTTCCCCTTATCGGGCGACCCCACCCCTAGGGAGCAGAGCAGGAGGTGGAGCAGTGGAAGAAGGCAGCAGCTGCCCAGGAGGTGGGCGTGGACACCTCCTGTCCGGGAGAGCCCCCTGTGCCCAAGGTAGGCAGCTATCCCACCTGATCTGGTGCTTAGGGCATGCAGCACCTTCATTGCCCTCACTGCTGGGGACATCTGGGACAGGACTCCCAGGGGAGGGCCAGATGTATGGGGTGCTGATCTGGGAGCCCGCCCCAAGTCTCCACACAGGGCACGGCGCCAGCAGATGGACCTCATCTCAGAGCTGAAGCGGAAGCAGCAGAAGGAGCCGCTCATCTATGAGAGCGACCGCGACGGCGCCATCGAGGACATCCTCACAGGTAGGGCCTGGGGCCATCCCAGCCTCTGGTGCAGGGCTGCGCTCCCTTCGCAGGGCTCTGACTCACTGCCTCCTACTTCCACCTGCTTTTCTGTCCTTATTTCTGTCTGTGCTTCATGCCTTAGTGCTCAAGACGGTGCCCTTCACGGCCCGCACGGGCAAGCGGACGTCCAGGCTCCTCTGTGAGGGCAGCCTGGGGGAGGAGCTGCCCCTGTAGCCCAGGTACCTGCTGGCCTGGGAGCAGAATGTCATTGTCCTGGCCAGCATGTGCTGGACACACCAGGCTGGCCAGCATCACCATGGTGGCCTCCCAAGTGCATGCAGCCTGGTCCTTGGGCGTGGCCTGGTGCCTCTCCGAGCCACCCCTGAGCTTGTCTTCCTGCTCCAGATCTACGGAACCAGCCCTACATCCGTGCAGACACGGGTCGCCGCAGTGCCCGCCGGCGCCCCATAGCACCACCCCTGCAAGTCACCACAGACCTGGCCTTGTAGCCTGGTGGCAGGTGTATGCTGGGGCCTGGGGTTTCAAGGATGGCTGTGACCCCAGACATTGCTCCAAGAACCTGGACAGCCATACTTGGTGAGGGCCTGGCTTGTGACCTGTGAGGCCACTGTGCTGGCCTGGGCCTCAGCCCCAGGACTCTCCCTGAGCCTTATTTTTGTATGAGAGCAATAAAGATGTTTGCAGAATATGTGCATTGGCCCCTGCCCGCCCTTCCTCATTCCCCTCGACCCCTGCTCCTGCCCAGCTCCCTGGTGGCCTCCCTCTGCACAGCTGCCCCATTTCCTGCGTTTTACTCCCACTTGGCCCGCCCACTGGTGCCGCCCCATCTGGGATGCTGCCTCTGCACCATCTGTTTGGCTCTCATCTCAGCCTCTGTCCTCAGTGCTGAGGTGGGAAGGGTGGAGCTGGGTGAGCTCAGGGAGCTGGCCAGGGTGGCTTCTTCTCCCCTCATGGATCTTGTGTTTGGCTCGAGAGTGACCAAGAATGCAGAGCTCCGGTGTGCAGGGTGCCAAGGTCCTGGAGTGGAAGGAGGTATGCCCCAACCCTTCTGAGAAGCACATGGAGGACAAACCCTGGCCATGCAGCAGCTTGAGCAACATCCAAGCACAGGGTCTGTAGGCTGCAGGTCACTGATGCTGGGGACATGCTCTTGCACTAGCCCTGCCCATCACAAGCACAGTGTGAACATCCTGGGAGCCCCTAATGTGGAGGACTCTAAACAGGGAGCTGTGGGAAGGGGTGCTTAGGGTGCCTGCCCCTGAGGAAGGCTGCCCTTGTACACCTCAGGGCTGTGTGGATTGCAGAAACTTTAGCTGCTGGGGTAGTGAGTGGAGCCTGCGAGGGGGCGCTCACTCAGGGAGGATGCACTCAACAGTCATGTTCTGGGTCTATGAGATAGGGGTGCCCATGAGGGCAGACTTTGTGAAAGAGGAAGCTTTAAAAAAAATAGGACATCTGTCATTCCAGCTACTGGGAAGACTGAGACAGGAGATGACCTTGTAAATCCAGGTCATCTTCAACAATTTAGACCCTTTTAAAAAATAAAAAGGGCTGGGGATGCTGTGCAGTGGGGGGCCCTTGCCTCTCTTGTGGCCCTGGGTAACATCCAGTATGGCAGGCAAAAAGCACCATGGCTTTCGTGGGCATCAGGACGGTACCCGAAGGTGGGGAAGATGCAGGGAGGGGTGGGAACCTGGCTCAGTCTCACCAGCACTGGTGGAGCAGCTAGAAGCCTGTGTTTTGCAGGGTACTTCCTGCTGCCTATGTCCACAGTTTGTGGACCTGGAGGCTGAGGGTAGAGGGGCCGTGGTAAGATGAGCCCCACGTGGGACCTGGGAACCTGCCTGCTACAGCCTCAGCCCAGCACTGGCATCCAGTCCCAAAGGCTGCTCTGAGCTCCTGGCCTAGTGGTCATGGGGCCTGGGGGCTGCTGGTCATTGTAGGCAGTGACAGCTTAGTAGGCTCTGACGCTGTTAGGACATGTTCTCTGGGGAGTGGTAACCCCTCTGCCCATGTGCAGTGTGGCTGGGAATGGGTTCTGTCCTTCCTCCTTTCCCCTCTTCCATCCTGTCCACGTATCTGCCTTCTAAACACCTTTGTTCACCCTTTACTCTGGAGCGGTAGCTACACTTCCTGGTATTCACCCATGTGAGGGAAGGTGTGAGTCTGCACAAGAACCTGTGCCAAGCGGCCGGTGAGATACCTTATCAGACTAAAGCACCTGCTTAGGGAAGCTTAGGCAAGCACAGGGACTGCGGTTAGATCCCCAGCACCACATGCCACGGCAGCCATGACTCTAGGGCAGGCTGAACGCACCAGAGTCCAGGCATAATAGCACACGCCTGCAATCCCAGCACTGGGGAAGCTGAAAGCAGGAGGATCACAATGAGTCCGAGCTGTGTAGGAGATCCTGCAATAACCAAATACATTAAAAAAAAAAAAAAAAAAAAAAAAAAAAAAAAAAAAACACAAAAAACCTGCACCCAGGTGTTTTCAACACCTTTCTTCTCGGTCACCTGCACTTGGAGCATCCAGAGTAACTGCAGTGGTGAACGGAGAAGTGAACCACGGCACCTTTGGGCCATTGTTGAGAAGCTGTGAGCCTCTCTCCCACTAAGGGACCCAGAGGAAACGGGCCTGAATGCTCCTAAGCCAAAGCAGCCGACTGGAAGGCTCCTCTAGAAAAAGCAAAGCAGAACAGAGGGCTTCAGCACAGAAAGCCGTCCTATACGACTGTGCAGTGGCAGACGCCTGTCACTGAACCACTGGTCAGAGCCCTCAGAAGCTGGACCTGGGCCCAGGTATGTCACTGTAGGTCACCACCTCAGGGTAGCTGTGTGGCAAGACTGGGAGTTTTGGGGGAACTCTGCACTTCGAGCTCAATTTTGCTATGTCTTTAATGCTGCCCTAAGAAGTAAAATTTATTAAATAACATCTAATCCAGACAGTCCAGAGAGCCCAGCGTCTCTCAGGTCAGCCTTCCAGGACACCAAGCCTCTCCTGCTGGTGCCCCTCAGCCCTCTTTCTACCCATGTCCCGTCTGAGCTTCACTTCCTGGCCCCGGCCTCTAGGGATCCATGGCCACTCGGTGTGATCTGTTGTATGTGGGGAAAAACGGTGGTTTTCATGGCTCCCAACACTGGCCAGTCCTGTGCCCCTCCCAGCGCCTGACACACATGAAGCTCAGTGTCTGAGGACACGCTCTGTCTAAAACCCACAGGGCCCTGCGGTCTGTTCTCCCCCCTCTACTTCATATCCATTCCCACTGGGTTGCCTTGCCCTGGAAGCTCTGGGAGGCCTGTGCATTTGTGTATCTTGTATGCGGGGCTCTGGTGGACATGCAAGTCCCAGTGAGTGTGCAGTGTGTTTGGTGTGTGCATGTGGGTGCACACCTGTGCAAAGGTTGGTGGTGTGCACGTATGTGGGCTGCAGGAGGGCATGCACTGTTACACATGGGCTCTTCCTAGTTGTAGAGATGGCTTAGGACCTTGCACTGAGCGACATCCCCAGCTCTTTTTATTTATTTTGAGACAGGGTCTCACTAAGTGGCCCAGGCTGGCTTTGAACTTGCAATCTTTTTGCCTCAGCCTCCCCAATAGCTGGAATGACAGGTACGTGCCACCACACCTGGACTTCTAATCCCTGAATGTTGGGTACTTCTAGCTCAAGGCTGTCTCCCATGGAGAACCTGTTGCCAGGTCTGAGTTTTGCCTCCTTCTAGCCCGCCTGTCCCAGGGACAGAAAGGACGCACTTTAGACACACACGATCCTCGTGTATCTGTGGCCTCCCCAGGTGCCCAGAGTTCTGGCTGGGTGGCAGTGAAGTGTCTGCCACCCAGACACAGCCAGGACACAGCCAGGATAGGGTGGGCTGGGTGGATGGGAGCTGGGCGCGCAGCAGCCAGCTGAGCTAGCAGCGCAGGAGCACAAGGGCCGGAGCCGGGCCAGCACTGGAGGCTTTAATCTTTTCTGCAGTCACTTCTCTGGAATGGGGAGGAGGACATCTTAAAATGGATTTTCAGCAACAATGGACTCCCTTTCTTGGTTCCCAGAACTGAGCTGCAACACAAAGAGAACACTGCGAGGGTGCCTGAGGGTGGCGGGTGGGACCCTGGGAACGGGGGGCTCCTGTACCCCCGCACCTCCCGTCCTGTGTCTGTCGGGGCACTGAGAGCCCCGTTCTCTCCACTCCCAGAGGCGTCCTGGCTCCATAGGGCCAACCCTGGCAAAGTATTTTCCTGAGCTTTGAGGCAGCCCCCCAGGTCCCTGCCTGGCCCTGAGGAGCAACGCTCCAGCCCCAGGCCCTGTGGCTGCCTGTGCCTTGGTTCTGCACCTCTGATCCCTGGAACCTCGTTTCCACAGGCTCTGTGAGGTCACCGAGGCTGGGGTGTCATGTGCACTCCCTGTCCCCCTACCTTCAGGGCCTGGCCCGAAGCTGATGTACTCACTCTTCACTGGCATCCTGTACTCGGGGGGACGTGGCCCCTGTCTGGAGGAACCTCACTTCTCCTTCAATGGTGGCATTCCTGAACCCTTGGTTGCTGAAGTCCAGGAAAGAGGAAGGCTGGTTCTTTTCTTCCTGAGCCCTGGCTTTTGGTGCCTTCTCCAGCAGCTCTTCCTTCTCCAAGGTGTGCTGGATAGGCCTTTGCAAGGGCGTCACAGCCTTCTGTGATGGGACTTTGATTTTCTGTCCCAAGCTGGGAAGGACCAAACAGCTGGAGGGGACCACGGCCAGGGCTGTGGCAAAGTGGACCACCTCTACCAGCCCCATGGCTGGTGCCTGGGGACCTGGTGGCGGCTGGGTCCCTGTGGCTGTGAGAGCTGGGCAGGCGCTGGTGCCCGCTGGCTGCCTGTCCAGCCTCGGCCCCTGGCGTCTGGTGCTCTTGATGCTGCCCTGGTTGTCCTGCCTGGGCATGGCCCTCTGCAAACTGTGGTCTGATGCCTGGACAAGCTTGTCAGCCCAAAACAGGTGCTTGGAGGTCTGGGTGCAGCAGCTCCTGGGGGACACTGGGAACTTCTCCCTGACACGCTGGTGCCTGGGGGCCGCTGGCTGCCTGGAGCTCTCATGGCACAGTAGCAGGGTAGTGACCTTCCAGCTGCTGTCATCTACGGGCTCGGGCTCGGGCTCGGGCTCGGGCTCGGGCTCGGGCTCTGGCCAGAGAGCTGGCTGTGGTGATGGCTCCCTCTCCAAGCTCTCCAGCTCAGGGATGGAGTCTGGATCTGGCTTCTGAGCTAGCAGTTCCTTCTCCAGCTAAAAGGTTTCAGTGAGACCCTGTGAGGGCTGAGCTGGGAGCCCCACACAGGCCTGTGCTACCCCTCCCACCCCTAGGGCCCCTGAAGCCCTCTCTGCTTTGTGGTACAGGCAGGGATCCACATTGGCCTGTCCTGCGGCTCCTGGCATGGAACCATGGGCTCCACAGGGCCCTTGCCTGCCACTGCCCCAGGGGAGGTTACCCCAAAACTCACCTCAGTCTTGCCTTCCTCTTGTGTCAGCTGGGGGCGGAAGTCGCGGTGGGCAAAGTCGATCCTGAGGCAGAGGAGTCAGGGTGGGTGTGGGCTCCTCGGGCAGGGTTGGCACGATGGCTGGGCTCCCCACTCCCTCAGAAGCTCTAGGGGGTTCCTGCCTTGTTCCCTTTTGGAACCTGGGGCCTCCACTGCTGCACCAGTGCTGACCACTGGGTACATCCCAGCCCGTTCTCAAGCTTCAGGGAGCTTGAGAACTACTATGGAGCTGTGCAGTCCTTTCCCACCTGCTGAGCTGGGTTCAGGGAAAAACTGAGGCACAACACCTCCATCTAGCCCTGGGGGACTGATGCCGCTGATGTGGGAGCCCACTGAGCCCACCCACCCAACAGCCATTCCTGGACGGACAAATCCAGAGAGCTGGGGTGGTGACCCCACTCCTACAAGGTGCACTACCTCCATCTCAGACAGGGCTCCCACCCAGTTTCTGCTGTACCCGCACCCCCACCCGTTCTCATGTCAGGGCCAGGTGCAGAGAGGGGGTGACACAGTACCCAGGTCTGGGGAGATCTGGAAATGGGAAAAGATGGAGGAGGCCCTATGTATGGGGTACAGCATGCTAGGTCCTGTGGGGTGGGGGCCCTGAGTTGAGGGGTCATGCTCACTGGGGTTCCAGGACTTCCACCGCCTCCTTGCCACAGCAGGGGAACACGCTGCCACCTGGTGGGAGAAGGAGGTGAGCACCCAGCTGCCTCCACCCCTTCTCCCCACACTATGGTCCCAGCCTCTACAGCCACTTGGCCCATGTGCCATCTTGGCCTCCTGGGGCTCTCTGGGACCTGCTGTCGCCATACCCTAGCTTACTCCATGGCCCTCCCTTTCAAGGATGGAGGCCACAGTCTAGTCCACAATGTCCACATCCTTCTGACAGAACATCAGCAGGGCTTGATGGCTGCTGAAGTGAGCTGACGAGGCTGCACAGCCCTGGCCCCAGTGACCATCATTGGAGACAGTGACAGACTCGTCACAGCTATTAGGCCTGGAAGAATCTGAGGCTGACTTGACTTGGCGTCTGACTGCACCTGACATAGGACTGGTCTAATGTGGATTTATTTATTTATTTTTCTAATGTGGATTTGAGTGACACTCTGTTAAAAATGAAATAATTTCAGTTTCCAGTTGCGCATATGCAGAAATACATTAGCCTTGTATCCAATAACCATGATAAAGTATTATTAGTGCTAGTAGCCTTTTTTGGAGGAGATACATCCCTAGTTCTCTTTATTATTATTATTATTCTTTTGAGAGTGTTCTGTTTGGTTGCTGAGGTTGGCTTCAAATTTGTGATCTTGCCTCAGCACCCTGATTAGCTGGGTTACAGGTGTGCGCCACTCGGCTCGACTCTGGTAACTTTTACAAAAATATATACCACAGAGCAGCTTCTGCACAGACTTCCCAGCCTGGACTCTTCATGCCGCGCTTTCCTCTCTCGTGCTTCACGGCTCTGGGGACCACTTCCACACGCTGGTGGCTTAGGGAGGTCACAGCCCTGTCTGGTGCAGTACTTCACCTTTAAGCATGTTTGTGATATTTTTTTTTCATAGATGCCTTTTATCAAGCTGAGGAAATTCTTTCTTGTTCACTTGGATTGTATCTAGGGATGCTGGATTTTGTCCCCCCTTTTGCCTTTTTAAGACAATCGTATTTTTAAAAAAATTTATTTGTGTGTGTGTGTGTGTGTGTGTGTGTGGCCAGCTCAGCCCACCAGGGGGCGGGGCTGGCTGGCATGTGGTGCTGGGGGATTGAACCCTGATCCCTGTGCTTTGCTTAGCTTAGCTTGTTCCAAGTAGGTGCTTTAGACCACTGAGCCATCTCACCAGCCCCAATCGTATTTTTTTAAACAATTCTGTCAACACATTGTATTTGCGACATATATGAATGTGCAAGCTGTTTTTTTTTTTTTTTTAATGTTACAGCAGTGTTTTTTCTCAATGTTAAATCAGTCTTGCATTAGTGGGGTAAACCAGATATCCATTCTTCATTTCTTTATCAGTTTAGTATAGGGGACTAAAGTCAGGACCCTGCACTTGCCAGGGGGCACATATGCCACGAGCTAACTCCCCAGCCCCTCAGATATCTGTTCTTATACTGTGGAATCTGATCATTTTTTTTGGTTGCAGGGACTGTACCCAGGGCCTTCACCCTGAGCTACATTCCCAGCCCTTTAAAAAATTAATTTGACATAGTGTCTTGTTATGTTGCTAAATTACCCAGGCTGGGCTCAAACTTGTGATCCTCTTGTCCCAGTCTCCCAAAGTTCTGGGGAGAAAGGTGTGTTCTTCCACGCCAGGTTTGTTTTATTTTTTTTTGAAAGTTTTGCATATGTATTTATGAGGTCCATTGGTGCTAATTTTCTTTTCTTGTAATGAGCTTTTCAGATGTGATATGAGTAATGCTGGTTTCATAGAATGACTTGAAAGTATTTTCTTTTCAATTATGTAATTTTTCTAATGTTAGAATTCACAAGTGAAGGTTGGAACTTGAACCTGGAGTTTTGAGAAGACTGTCTATTACATATTTAAATTTAAGAGCTAGATTTAGGCAGACATGAGTAGCACTTTTTTTTTCCTTTTTGAGACACAGTCTCACTGTGCAGCTTAGGCTGGTCTGCAACTCATACTGTAGTCCAGGCTGGCCTCGAACTCACAACGATCCTCTTGCCTCAGCCTCCTGAGTGCTGGGATTGCAGGCATGTGCCACCACACCTGGCACGAGTAGCACATTCTTGCAATCCTGGATTCTCTCTGTCTCTCTCTTTTTCATAGGGGAAGTCAAACCCAGGGCCTGAGGCTTGCCAGGCAGGTGTAGTGCTGCTGACCTATATCCCTAGCCCTCCTAGCACTTTTTGAGGCTGAGGCAGGAGGCTGGTAAGTTTGAAATCAGCCTGGGCGATTCAATGAGACTGTTATCTCAAAAAAAAAATCTATCTATCTATCTATCTATCTATCTATCTATCTATCTATCTATCATCTATCTATGGCTAAGAATCTAGCTTAATTAGGGTGAAGGCCCTAGGTTCATACTTAGCATCAATCAAAATCTGCCCACAAAACCCTAGATATAGGGCTGTTTTTTTTTTAAACATTTATTTATTTATTTAGTGTGTGTGTGTGTGTGTGTGTGTGTGTGGCCAGCTCAGCCCACCAGGGGGCGGGGCTGGCTGGCATGTGGTGCTGGGGGATTGAACCGTGGTCCTTGTGCTCTGCCAAGCTTGTTCCAAGTAGGTGCTTTAGACCACTGAGCCATCTCGCCAGCCCCTATAGGGCTGTTTTGACTATTTAAAAAAATACACACACACACACACACACACACACACACACAAAGTTGACAATTTTAAACATTTTTCCGCTTTTACTTATGTACTTAAGTGGTTGAGCCCGGAGCCTTGTGTGTTCTGGGCTATGCTCTACACTGAGCTGCATTCCAGCCCCAGTTTAACATTGGTAAGAGTTACAGTTCAGGCAGTATGGCCATTTACTGCTGTACAGCTATCGCCACCATCCTGGGGGTAGGGGTGGGGCTGCCACGGCATGTGGTCCCTGTGCGCTTGCTTAAGCAGGTGTTTTAGACCGCTGAGCTATCTCACCAGCCCTGTTTTTTGTTTTATGAGATGGTCTCACTATACAGTTCAGGCTGACCTTAAACTCACAGCGATCCTTCCCTCTCAGCCTCCCACATGCTGGGATTTAGATGTGTACCACCACGTCCAGCAAGAATTGCTCTGTTCTCAAGGGAAGTTTTGGAATTTCTATCTTTTAAAGAATTGGTCCATTTTATATAAACTGTCAAATTTATTGACATGGCTGTTCATAGTGTTCCTTTACTACCTATTTCATATTTGTAAAATCTGTAGTGATATCATTCCTTTTGTGCCTGATGACTTTTATCTTCTTTATCTTTGGTTAGGGATTTTCCACTTTTATTGTTCATAAAGAACCAGCCTTGTTGTTAGGGTTCAGATACAACATCCCCCAGAAGTCTCCCATTCTGAGGTGGGGCCTGACCAGGGGAGTAGGCCACTGAAGACATGACTTGGTTTTTTGTTTGCTTTTGAGACAGGGTCTCACTATGCAGTTAGGCTAGCCTTGAAGTCACTATGTAGCTGAGGCTGGCTTCTAACTCAGTGACCCTCTAGCCTCAACCCCCAAGTGCCATGTGTCACCACACCAAGCACTGAGGACAGGACTTGGAGGGGCGCATTCTGGGCCTGGGTCCTCCCTGCTCTCTCTTCTTCTGGGCCACAATGCAATGAGCAGCTCACCTCTGCCAGGCTGTTCTGCCTTGGCGTCCGCTGACCACATCCACTGCAATGGTGAGCCTAAATCGCTCCTACTCTAGTTGTGCTTATCAGGCATACTATGCTGCCAAAGAAAAGGTGACAAAGTAGAAAATGGCACTATGAAGCAGGGTACTGATGTGACTGTACCTGACTTTGTAGTTTAGAAGCCTCTGGAACTGCTATGCAGGAAGAATTTGAAAGGTTTGGAGGTGCAGGTTAGAGCAGCTCTAGAATGTTGTAAGCAGAACCTGATAGGAGAGTCTGGCCAGAGCTCAGAAGAACAGAATGCTGATAACAAACGCAGACAGGCTCAGGCTCAGGCTCAGGCTCATGAGGTCTCAGCTGGGACAAGGATGCCATTGGCAGCTGACCTGCAGGTCAGGTGTTTTATGCTTTGGGAGAAAATCCGTCTACATTTCACCCATGTCCCAAGACCACGGGAGACACCAGGGGCAGCAGACTAAGCTGGTAAAGGCAGCCTAACTTTCAGACTGTGTCATGGATACTGCTGGGTGTGCCTACTCAGATTTATAGTGAGAAGCGGTAGCAAAGAGAACAATCTGCAGTTTACCAGAAAGGATGTGTCTGTGAAATTGGGGCAAAGAAGAGGTTGGCTACTAAAAGATGAGCATTAAAAGTAAACCAGGTGGGTCAGGGGTGGTGGCACCACCTGGAACCCCAGCACTTGGGAGGCTGAAGCAGGACGATCACTGCAAGACTGAGACCAGCCTGGGGTAAAAGATGTGTTCAAGGCCAGCCTGAACTGCACAGTGAAACCCTGTATCACAAAGATGCAAAAATGAAACAAAACAAAATAACCCAGGAACTTTGTACAAGGGCAAGAAAAAGATGCCTCGGGGGCATCAGAGATCAGCAAGACCTGCACCTTGTAGGGTTAAGGGAGCAAAACTGCAGTCACTTGAAAAGTCCCTGGACTGCCTGTTCATTCAGAGCTGCCTAAGAAGTGTATCCCTAAATTCAGTAATCTGGGCAGGCATGGTCCAAAGGGACCCAGCCTCTATAAAAAAGGAAGTAGAGAAGAAAAGAGTCTGGATAAATATAATTGGAAAATAAAGCACACAGAATACTCCCAGAAGTGGAATCGAAATATCAAGATAATGCAAAAGAAAGGGAACAATAGATCCAGTTCTGAATTCTAAAATGAGATTCAGAGAGAATAGAAAATATGAAGAAAGAGAATAAAAATTTTTCTGAGCTGAATGGTGTCGTTGCCTTAGAAGAGTTAACTGAGAATTGAACACAGCTTTCTCGAACATCCTTGATTAAAAGTCCAGTATAGGCCGGGCGTGGGGCTCACACCTATAATCCCAGGGCTGTGGCAGGGTGATTGCTGTGAGCTTGAGGCCAGCCTGGGGCACATGATGAGTTCAAAGCAGCCTGAACTGCATAGTGAAACCTTTCTCAAAAAAAAGAAAAAAAGAAGTCTATTGTATCAGGAACAAAAGAAATCCTTAATGTTTTAAAAAGGGAAAGCCCAGTGACCTACAAGGGGAGGGAAATTATACTGGCAGAAGAATTAGCAACAATGAGTACCTTTAAAATTGAGGAAAATACTTTTTACTTCAGATTTTTATAGCTAGCCAAACTGTCATTTCAGACATGAAAAGACATAGAAAACATATTTTTCTTTGTTTAAGAAACTGAGGGAGGGGCTGGTGAGATGGCTCAGTGGTCTAAAGCGCCTACTTAGAACAAGCTTAGCAAAGCACA